AGAGAGAGACCGCCCTGAATAAAGCAGAATCGTCATAGACCTTAACCCTGTGTTTGTGATTTTTCCGGTGCACCGCATACAACAAATTAGGAACAGCCGCAGATATCTTGTGTGAACCCAGTTGGGGTTCTGATCCATTTCACCGCCATTCACTGATCACAATGGCAATGCTTTACTGGCTCCAATGCAAAGAAATAATATAGTCTTTTATGAAGAAGTGTATTGTTGTTTATTTATTATTATGTTCTTTTTTTTCTAGAAGGCGGAATTTCCCTTTAAGGCCCCATTCACACTGAGCGATTTATCGAGCGATTTTTGCAGCGGTATCGCTCATATTTCCACGCGATATCGCTCTATGTAGCTTCTCCAATCCATTTCAATGGCGCTGTTCACATCTCGTCGCTCAATATCGCTTGTAGCTCGTCGCTGTAGCTTGTCGCTCCTACATGACCCTTTTTTCGTGCGATTTTGCTCCTGATTGCATACAGCCCAATAGGAAAAAGTCGCTCAATATCACTCATATAAAATCGCCCAATTTTCATGTCGCTCAGTGTGAATGAGGCCTAACAATATTCACTTACCTTAGAATTAGTTAGGAAACCTTTTAACCACTTCAAGACCAGGTGTTTAGACCCCCTTTGAATCTATTATTATGAATATCCTTCAAAGAGGCCCTGTCACCACCCCATGCACAAGGAGATAATATCCTAGTAGGCAAATCATTCATGTGCCATGTAAACTGGAAATACTGTAACAAGGCTGGGAAGTACATTTTTAAAACTGGAACTCCGGCCACACAAACTTTAATGTAAACTAGTGAGTATTTGGGTGAGTGCTCGTACTCGCCCAAATGCTCCCATGCCTCGCCCGATACCCGAGCTTTCGGTATCAGAAAGCTGGCCAGCGAGTCATTACATGCTGCTTGGCTTTCTGAGTGGCCAGGAAGCCGGCTCCATGCTCACTCGTCACCAAATGACGAGGAAGCCGGCTCACCAGGTGATGAGGGAGCATGGAGACAGCTTCCCGGCTAATCATGAAGACCGGTGGCGAGTCTTTACACGCCGCTTGGCTTCCTTAATGGGATTTCCGGTATCGGTGTTTGGTATTGGATGAAATATCAGTACTCGTACTCAACACCGAAACAACAGTATCGGTGCATCCCTAATGTAAACATATTCCCTAATTATATTCCTTAATACTATAAGCCCATTGTGGGTGCACCAAATGCTTTTGCAAACCCAGATATGAGCTAAACCGTAGCAGTGACATCATCACTGTGCTCTACATAGCTTGTGCAGAGAGCAGAGCTGTAGGAGGGGCTCAGTAGGCTCCACCCACTACAGGCTGCCTGCAGAAAACTACAGGAGCATGCCGAGACAAGACCAGTCACCCTGTACAAGGATAGAGAGCAGCAGTGACCGGTCTTTATTGCAGGAGGGGTGGAGACTAGACCAATCATCCTGTACAAGGATAGAGAGCAGCAGTGACCAGTCTTTATTACAGGGGGGGTGGAGACAAGACCAGTCATCCGGCAGAAGGAGAGAGAGCAGCAGTGACTGGTCTTTATTACAGGAAGCTCCAAGTGTCACACTGGATTACTGCATAGATCTGGGATGAATACATGACGCTGACCAAGATTCCAGGAAGAATACACATGACTCTTCTATGAGGACAATATTTACTTATCCCGGAGTTCAGCTTTAAGTTTGGCCTCATCTGTCACTGAGTGACCTCTGGGGAAATATAAGTAGAAACATACGGGCTAAATATAGTGGACATGAGACTCCCCGGTGCAGAGAAGGGTAACGTTACTACAACGATGTCAGTGTACAGAAGCAACATAACCCAACTATCTACCACCGTGCTACAGCCACAAGTTCCAGTCTGGACATATCAGCCCAATCTTATTCATTGTGACCAGAATGCAGAACACTACACAACAAATAGAAAGTGTCCCGGCATCGTGTGACATCTTCAATAAAACTTGATCCCAGGGGCGGGCAAACTCCAACCCTCCAGCTGTTGTGGAACTACAAGTCCCATGAGGCATTGCAAGACTCTGACAGCCACAGGCATGACTCCCAGAGACAGATGCATGATGGGATTTGTAGGGTCACCACAGCGGGAGTGGCGGAGTTTGCCCACCCGTGCTTTATTGTATAGTAACATCTTATACTCACAAAGGTTCTTCTCGGATCAGCATCGTGCAGCTAGCTTTTTTTGTTGTTGATAGAACTTAAAGGGTTATTAAACCCTCGCGTGCTTTTGCATATATCTCCTGCTAGCAAGCAGTAGATGTCAGCAAAAACCTGTGTCTCCGCCGTGCGCTCCCATCAGAACATCTGAAAAATTCTCGGGCGGCCGCAGAGGATCGCGGGGCGGGTGCATGCGCACGTCAGATGTTGGGTGGAAGACGAGGAAAGACACAAGGTAAGTCTACGGAGCAGCGTAGGACATGAGAGAAGAGGAGGACAGAGGAGTCAGCGCTGGTGGGACAGCTGAAAAGGAAAGGAAAGAAGATGATCGAATAAAGAGGCATCATTTAAGGAAAGTCCTTACAGCAGGATTGGGAAGGGGGGGGGGAAAAATTTAACTTTAAAGGAGAACTATGGGGTTAAGTCTTTTCCCCATAGTTCTCCTTAGGGTAACGGGAGGATGCAAACTAGCAAGCGGATCCCGACAATTATGTCTGGATCCGCCCAGCTGCGTGACTGACAGCTGGCTCTGCCTATCTAGAGGCAGACCCAGCTGTACCCGCCCCCTCCCGTTCCGCCAGTCAGCGCTGGCAGATCGGAGCGGGGAGGGGGGAATCCAGCCCCTCCCCTGTCACGGCAGAGAGCCGCGACAGGATCGAGAGGTGAGCGAACCCGGTATGTGTTCGCTCATCTCCCGATCTACTGAGCCGACCTGTGACAGTCTCATTGTCACAGGTCGGCTAGAACTATGAGGTGAGTGAAAAACACTCGCCTCATAGTTCTCCTTTAATTGAAATGTTACAGTGACATTTTATTACGTTTTATCGACCACGGTGCAGTGCAATGCGATTTTACCGCGCCACAGCAAAAAATGACTGCATGCAATGAGGTGGTGTGAAATCAGCTGATCTGCCTCGTCTATGCATGGGGCGGTGCTGGAAAAGACGACCAGCGCAGCCCCCATGCATCTGGTGTGAACGGGTCCCTGTGGATCTCTCCATGGTGAGTAAGCTTTTACAGCATAGACTCTGAACTGAGGAATACGGGGGCATTG